GTGTGTGTGTGTGTGTATTGTTTTTAGAGACAGGGTTTTACTCTGTCAATGCTGGAGTGCAGTAGTGTTATTACAGCTCACTGTAATCTCCAACTCCTGGGCTCAAGTTATCCTCCTATCTCAGCCTTCCAAGTAGCTGGGACTATAAGTGCATGCTACCATGCCCAGCTAATTTTTAATTTAATTTTTTGTAGCAATGAGTCTTGCTGTGTTTCCCAAGCTGGCCTCAAAGTCCTGGTATCAAGCAGTCCTCCTGCCTTGGCCACATGTATATATATGTTGCCTATATACTTCCTCTCTCCAATATCCCAAAACTTATAAGTTCTGAAGGCAGAAATCTTATCACTCTACCCTCAGGGCTTGGAACAGTGCCTAGAAAATAGGGATGCTCAATATATATCTTATGGATAATTTTTAAGGTACAATCATGATTTTTCAAATATTTTAATGCTAAAGAACATATTAAGTTAAGCTTTGTTTTACTCTCACCAATCTTAATTGTTTAATCATTAGTTTATAATCATCCTTCATTAGCTCCTGGGCCAGTTATTGGCAAGTCACTTAAGCACAGTTAACCTATAACCAGAATACATAAAAAGAAGTATCTCCAACTAAAAGACATAAAAAGCCCACCGTGAAAATTAATCTAACAACATCACCCATTTCTCTGTCTCAACTAGCTACTATTTAATTGCTTGTGAAATACAGGCTGTACATAAGATGTGCACATTATAGATGAAGATGGGGAATCAGGGAAGCTATGTGATTGGATCAAGGTCTCATGTGGAGAGCGTGTGCATATATTCGGAAATAATTTTCAGAAGCATAAGAAGCAAGAGTTTTCAAAGTGTGTTACCATACAATCCTTGCAGAAATCCAACCAGGTAGAGATTGTGTCTATAAGCCACACAGGAAAATCAATTCCACTGCACAGATGATGGGCAATAAATAGTAATCTTGCCATTTTAATACAAGAAGCTAATACAGTTTCATGGGTGTCACCAAAAAAATAATAGGACAGGTGCCACTGATGCAGCACAGAAATGAAAACATAGAGTTTGGCCAAAATAAATGGATTTAACAGATGAGAACATAATGTACAACTGTGAGGAATTCTATAAGCCCACAATAGAAAACCATGGTTCTCAGATTTTAGATTTCCGAGATAAGTAAGATTTCTAAAGCACTGAGTAATGAGGTTGCCTGTGTCTAATTGTTCTGAATGAAAACATTAAAAGACAAAAATTTATTATGTGGTAGTTAACTCTGATTGACCACGAACTGTATGTAAGAGTTTGTTCTAGCAACTAATATGCATTAGCTCATTAAGGCTCACAACACAACAATGAAATATATATGATTATCATCACCTTTGTTTTACAGATAAGGCAACTCAAGCCCAGAGAAGGTTAGCAGTTTTTTTCTAGTCCTGTGTCCAGTGCCAGGCAGAGCCAAAACTCAAACCCAGGTGGCTGTTCCCAGAGCCGGTGGTCTCAACCGCTGACTCTGGCTCTAGCACCCAAAAGCACTATTATTTCATGGATGAAGTGATATTTTAGGCCAAAAACCAGGCAGCATATCTCAGATTGAGTCAGTCCTTCAAATTTATTCTATTTCACTGCAATAAAAACTTACGCCCCCTTCACTCAGATTTTTGGAAAAGTCATAGCAGACCTTCACTGCCCAAAGAATAGTACTTGATAAACATGATTATGGAGTATTTAGACAAGGATGAAACAAAAATGAAACTGAAAGACTTTCAGGGCAGAAATATCCAGCGGATCATCTCATCAGAAAGAGAGCAAGAAATGAATCACAGAATTTCATACTGAAGAGATCTTCAAGGTCAACCAGCTCAATCCTCTTCTGAACATAGAAATCACTTTCTACCATGTCAGGTTATACTTGAACAAATCAGCCATAAGAAACTCACTATTCATGGCTCAGCCTTTCCTCTTCACCCTCTTCTCAGTTCTTTCCACCATTCCTCATTGGTTGAAAAAGGTTCCACACCCTTTTCTATCCTGATTGCTCTCCCCATGGGCAAAATTTATTTTGTTCTGTCTCTCTTAAAAAGCAGGAACTAGAAATAAAGTGAGAATTATGGGTAGCCTAAACAGCACTGGTAGAGTAAGGCTATCATCTCCTTCAATATGGTCATTTTGCTTTCCTGATGCAACCTAAGATTATTTTAGATTTTTTTTTTATGTAGGGTTTGGTAAAGCACTAACATCACAGGGATAATTAATACAACATGGATGATATCGTAGGTTTATTTGCATTGAAGCCAAATCCTCAATCTCTTCTTCATATATATATTGCTGCTAAATTGTATTACTCTAATACCAAGCCAGTATTCTTGGCTTTTTTAAACTGTACAGGAAGGATTTAGATTTATTCCTACTACTTATCACCCTATTAGATTCATTCACCATTTGCCCCTGGCCAAGGATATTTTCCATTAATTGCTGCAGAATGCTTCCAGTCTCTCTCAGGTTTTTGAAATCCATGACTTCCTCTTTAGGTACTCCAAATGCTGACAAACCATCTGTATAACACTTTGGAACTGATACCGAATTTTGATTCTATACTTTACAGCATCTGTCTTTTTCCCTTTAACTTGTTCCAGCTTCCCAAAATTCCACACAGATCATAAACAGTGATTATTGATATTACCTGCAGATTTTCTCAAAATCCCAGCTTAAAAAAGGGTCAACTTCAGTTCTTCCTACAGCAAGAAGTCTCATTTGACTTCACTTTCCTCACCTTTCACTTTCCTCACCCATCTAATATGCCTCCCCCTCTTCTTTCTAACTTTGACCCTCTCACCTAACATTTCCCCGGCCATTTTGTAAGGGTGACTCCATGCCAGTGCAGGGCACACCCAGACCATGCATCATGAACAGCGCCAACTGCAGGCTGCAAACAGTTAAGAGGAAAGGGCGCATTGTCATTAGGCTTCCTGGCTTAGGTGAGATTTCATACATTTAAGGCACAGTGTGGGTCTACAAATACCAATTCAAAATTGGTTTTCACTTCTTAAAAAGAACTGTCAATCTATTATAAAAAGGTACTTTGTCTCTTTCAGCATTATCCATTTACACATCATGCAGCAATATCAAGTCTTCCTGAAAACACAGACACATGCATTATAATCAGTGGAAATATATACAGCAATGTGCCAATAGCTGAGATGTACAGACACAAAACCAAAAGAAAGGGCAAAAATGTGTAAAAAAAAAAAAAAAAGGATAGAATTGGAAACTTTATGTAGGTGGGGCTGCTAGTGACTAGAATTGAAACAGATCACACTCTCCAATCTAAATAGTGAAATTCTAACCTGCTTTTGGTAAGAGAAACTACATATTGCCATGCCCAAAACAGGAGTTCTTAAGATAACACTAAAGTGAAATACATCAAACTTACTTCTTACAGAGTGAGTTTAGAAGTGGACAGGAGCTTACATGGGCTATACTTTCCTGATCTGTATTATGGGGATCACAGAACCTGCCCTGGAGAATTCATAAGGCACTGGTAAGATAACTAACGGATTTGAAAGCAATGTCTATGTTGTAAAATGATACAGGCAATATTATCCACAGTTATTGTTTCAATTGCAACAAATGATGAGATGAAATTGTTTTACAACAAAAATGGAATTTACTCAACTAAATAGAGGAGATGACAAGGTTTAAAGAAGACAGGAAGGGAAAGGATTGGGAAATTCTCCTTTCTCTTTAGAACCACCACTCAGAGCTGTGGGAATCACCAGTTCAAAACAGCAGGTTTTATTCAGGGACCAGAGTCCCTGCACAAAGGTACCAGAAGGATACAGATGTGGGGCCTGAGAAACAGATGAAAGATGTACAAAATAGCAAAGTACACAGTTTACTAACCCAGGCCAGTCCCTGTACTCAATAGCATGTATCCCCACGAAAAAAAAAAAGTACCTGTTCACTTTTCTAACAAATATCTTTTTTAAAAGACAGAATTTTCTATGAATATTGAACTTGTGGACATAGTAGAATACAAATTATGAAGAATAAAATTTTAAATTGGCTACAACGGTTAAGGTTTAATAATATCTCCTACTCCTACCAGAAGGGGACTATGATAAGCATTTTTAAAACTTAAGAAATGAAACATTGATAAATGTATTCTCATTGAACGCTACCTGAATATTTAACACCATAACAATTTATGGAATCTCCTCATCTCAGCACACAATTCAAGACAGAAATTCATCATTTACATGATAAAAGAACATTTCAGTATCCCAATATACTGTTTCTCTCCGCTTCCTACCAGAGAGTAGACATATAGAAACAACACAACAACCTCTAATGGGGGAACTTTCTTCAGGTTTTGATTTTTGGAAGATTTTACACAACTCTCTCCATTAACTCTACTTTAACTTAAGTTGCAGGATGGATTTAGCACAATTAGAAATTTATAATCTAACAAACTAAAGACTGCACCCAGCACACAAATTATTCTTGCTTATGATACAAATGGCCCCAAGTCATTGGCCAGCAGACCCTTCATTAAACACCCATCAATGAAAACACATATTTAAGGCTATCTCTAAGATGGAATCTGTTATTCCAGAACCCATCTAGGCTGTAAGCACATTAACTATGAACATAAAACAAAGGGGCCAAATTAAGAGGGTCTGACCTATTAGAGGACATCATTAGAGTACACAGTTTCTCTGAACCTCACGGACAATTCTTGTATGAACTATTGTGGCGCCCGGAGTAAAAAGTAAATTAAGAATAGGAAAAAGGGTAGGGGCAGGCTGAGAAATACCAAGCCTCGAGGTCAATGATCCCTAAGTTCAAAGGTGTTAGTCAACTATTCACAGGCTAAGGGCATTTTTTGTTCATACACAGGTTTTGACAGAGCTAGGGGAAGCATGCTAGCCATCTGATCAACCCCAGTGCTGCCAGTCAACACCTGGAAAGACAATGACAATTAGTTACAGCATTGCTTATACTCACCAGCACACTTTGTTCTCGTCCTGAGAGCCGGCCCAGGAGAGCCAGTGCCACCCTCCCCTGGCCTGGTCAGGAGCACACTAATCTCATATTCTGTATCAGGGTCAAGGTGTCCAATTTTATAGCTCGTGGAATCGACTGGCTGCCGGTCATTCCAGCTCCCACTGGCCGTGCAGTACTCCACCTCTCGGGCGACAATGGGCCCGTCCCCATTGATGGAGTTGGCGTTCAGCTGTATCCACAGGTAGGTGGCTCCCACAGAGGCGAGCTGAGGTGGGGCAATAGGAACAGGTGGTTCTGAAAGGCAAACCAGAAAGCTGTCTTTCAGATGCTTTACTCTTCATTCTTAAAAGAGCTAAACATGCATCAATTATTAAAATGTAGAAGATATTAACATTTCAGGAATAAATTGATACAAACAATTTATTCAGGTTAATAAGAACAAGCATATTGATAAAGGTTTTTACAGCATTCAAAATTGTGAAATAAACCATCTTTAAACACATATGCTTATTCAAGTAGGCATAACCCTAATTTGTTTTAGGATACCAACCATTATGCATACCATATGCAAATGAGCGTATCTGATGCTTTTTATAATGAAGAATTAATACAGAAATATTCTCAAGAGAAAAATGCATTAAAGTGGTGCCTGTTTTAGAATAATAGTAACAATATCTTAAAAGAGTGAGCTCTCTCATTAGAGTCAGTCAGTTACCCAGGTATCAAAGGAATTCTTTTTCTCTCACTAAAGTCAACTGGTAAAAGTTCTCTCAAGTATTTAAGCTCTAAGAAGCATTCATCATCAATCTCCTTATTGAGAATGTCTTCAAAATCATCAAAGGTATTAGTTTCTACATCATTAAATTGTTTCCTTATATTTATATTCCAAAGATATCATCACTTTAAAAACATGGCTGAAATTATAGTTTATCTCATCAAAAATAAATCTCCAGGATGACGCGTTTCCCAAAATAACAATCAAAATGGACTCAATTTGCTACAGGAGAATTGAGCATTCTGAATAATGAAGTCCACCACTGCTGCCATTCAGGGAACTTCCAGTAATAAGTCTTACTAAAGCAGCGAACAGAAGGGAAAGCTCTGAAGCTAAAAACATACCATGCCCAGTTGATAAAACTAAGAAATCAATAGCAAACACACTTTACAACCAAGAAAGTCCCTCTCATTGTTTAAAATCTGAGATCGACTCTTTTTCTATATCATTGTCAATCTTATGATAAATAGTATTCCCAGTATATTAGTTAGATGCTTGCTGAAAGGCTCTCCAGGTACCAAATGAAGGTATTCCATGTGCCAATGTCACTGTGAATGATACCACACATGATAAATGAGATCATTGCACAAAACAACATATTTCTACCTGAATAAATCTCCCTCTCAGAAAAACACAGACCTAGTGATTTTTTTCCGAGACTGTTTCCATGGGTGATTTGTGCCTTTTGGCATTTTCTGTTTTTAACTCCTCGTTTTGCTCATACAAATGCATGGAAAAATAAAATCCACTATATCCTATTACTGACATATGCTGGTTTGCTTGCTGAAATTTCTGCTGCCCTCTTGCATGGCAAACATAACTAATCAATCACAGCTGTGTTTCCTGCTGAAGAGGACCTCAGGGAAGCTAGCACCACATGGGGTTTGCACCTGAGATGATACTGGGTTAATTCCTAGACCAGCTAAAAACCAGCAACACTGGTTCCCTTTGTTGAGCTGGGCATTTCAGTTCTTTTTCATATTCAAGGTGGAGTAAGTCATACTGACTTTTTTAAATTGCTGGGGAAATCTCACTTGATTAAGTCAAAATAAGACAACAAACTGTAAATGAATTTTACTTCAGAGACTACAAACATAATGCACATTTACTAAAATATTGTTCCTGTTATTTATAAACTGAAACTTTGTGCTCGTTTTTCATTTCTTTAAACAGCTTTGCCTTAACTCACAATGATTTAACATCAATTCATATCATTAGGCGATTCCTTGAACCAAGACATGAAATGGGCCTTTTATGGTACATCCTAAGGCATTTACATAGCTAGGCTGAAAGAGCAGTTAATTACTTTCAAGTTGCAAATGCTAGCAAAGGTTGTTGAACTGCCATTCAAAATAAAACTCAGGGGCAAAGTCACAAAAGGTCATGAGTACACTCACTCACTCAAGACATTGTTACTAGTCTCCTAAAATAGGCAGGACTTCAGTGCATTTGTTTTCTGAGAGTATTTTCTATATTAATTCCCAATGGGGAATTAATATAGAATTAATATAGAATTAATTCCCCATTGGGAATTAATGTAGAAAATATCAGATATGCTAAAGAAAAGTACCAGATATGCTAAATCAAATGAAAGATTCAACTAGAACTGGAAATAACTGGAACAGACATTCAAAAGGACTTTTGTTTTACAGAAGAATCAGTACAAAATAAGGCAACATTTAAATTTTCGTTTTTAGATGGAGTCTTGCTCTCTCATCCAGGCAGGAGTGCAGTGGTGCCATGGTGATTCTCCAGCCTCAGCCTCCTGAGTAGCTGGGATTATAGGTATGTGCCACCATGGCTAGTTAGTTTTTATATTTCTAGTAGAGATGGGGTTTCGCCATGTTGGCCAGGCTGGTCTAGAACTCCTGACCTCAAGTGATGTGCCAACTTCAGCCTCCCAAAGTACTGGGATTACAGGCATGAGGCACCGCAACTGGCCAACATTTAAATTTTCAACAAATTTTCCCAAGGGAAAGGATGAAGGAAGTAAAAAAAGAAGGAGGGAGGAGAGAAGAATCTTAATCTGTACAAAGTGATAAAAAGCAATTTAAAATATTTTTTAATTCAAGTGAAAGGAAACCATTAAACTAGTTCTAAATCAAGCCAGTAATGAGAGTACTTATATCACAAAGACATATATCTAATTGATACACATATGTAAATACCTGATACATCAATATGTCAATATCATATTTAACTGTATGAAATATGTTTACATATGAATATAGAAATGTAACTAAATAGGGTATTGACATATATATACATATACACATGCACTGTAGAGATTATATGAAATATTTGCATGTCCTTGGTTACCAAAAGTGGTTAGACATGAATAAAGATGAGAGTGATGGTTAACCAATTAAAGGACTTGGTCTTTATTTTGGGGGCTAGTGGGACCTTAAAGAGTTAAAAACTCTATGTACTGTAGTTTCTCCCATTTGTAAAACATTAGCACTCCAAATAATATATGGTATACAAAAAAGTGTTAAATTATAGACAAGTGGCCTAAAAATGTTAGTGTATATTTTGAAGTAATTTCCTCAAGGTAATAACTTTATAAAAACTAGGAGTATCTAGCATGTTATCTCATTTAAAAATATATGTATATACAAAACATGGCCATAAAATTATAATTGGAGAAAAACTTAAATTTCATAGTTGAGTCCTAACTGCATGCAAATTGCCACGAGCTGCAGCAGTGTACAGAAATGGAAAGAAGTTCCTGGAAATTTTTATCACAGTGAGCCAAGATACTACTACACTGTCAGAAGACAGGAAATGTGGTGCAAAATATGAATAGAACCCATTCATTCTTTCTATTTATGTTTGTTCTGGTAGACTAAAAATTTGTAATTTACTTATAACTCTCCACAAATTAACTTTTCCTCATAGGCAATTTTTAGAGATACTACTAGATAGGTATCCTACTAATCATTAACATGGGTACTGGCAGGTCACAGTGAAGCAGTGCAGCAACTGAAAGAAAAGGAAAAATAATCACGAACAACCGAACCAAGATAAAAATTAAATAATGGTAGTAATGATGATTATGATCATGATGAACTAGAAAACGACAAAACAGTTTGTAGGCAAACTAGTGTCCTTTTTGTACATCGTGATGTCTCACTTGCCAGAGCACTTTCAACAGGGCAGGGTGTGTACAGCAGGGGAGAATGTTAGTTTTGTTACAGATATTAAATCTAAATATTAGGCTGGTTCAAGTCTCATCACAAACAAAAACATGTTAAGAATCTGCTGTGGCAAATACATTATCAGAGTGGATATCTTAATGTGTACTTCCTTATGCCGAACATCAGTCACTGCTGCAAATGATTAGTTCTCAAGGTGGATTCACTGGGGGGCACTGTCCCTCATAAGCTACATGTGACTAAGATTGGCAGTGGTAATCTCTCAAAAGAGCATATGGCTGACTCATCTAGAGGTTTTATAACAGAGGCTGTGTCCCTGGATATTCTGACTCAATATGGGTGTGGCAAGAGTAGGAAGGAGAGAATAGATGGTCAGGTATTTATATTTTAAAAAAATTAGAAAGGTAGTTATGGCATCCATTCCCAAGTGAAGACCACTGATAGACTGGACCAGAGAGAAGTTCATCCCCGTCCTCCTCCCCCTTCCCACCAAGGGCCTGTCAAGCACCCACTGCTCACTATGTACACTGCATTTGATCTTCCTCATTGCTCTATAAAGTGGATAATATTATTATCATTTGATATCTACCTCACACATAAGGAAACAGTGGCACAGACAGGGCAAGCCACTGGCCCACATCCACATACCTAGTTCTAGAATTTGAATCCACCAATCTTTAAGGCTGCCTCCCTAGAGAAATGTGCAGACAAAAGTAATAGCACATAAAAAACAGGTCAATTTTTTTTTTAAGAGACAGGGTCTCACTCTGCCCAGGTTGGAGTGCAAGGGCACAATCATAGCTCACTGCAGCCTACACTCCAGGGTTCAGGTGATCCTCCAGCCTCAGCCTCCTGAGTAGTTGGGAGTATAGGCAGTGCCACCATACCTGGTTAACTTTTTAAAATTATTTTTGTAGAGATGGGGTCTCACTATGTTACCAGAGCTGGTCTTGGAACGTCTGGCCTCAGCTTCCCAAAGTGCTGGGATTATATATGTAGAGAGATGAATTTTATGCACCATATTTAACAAATGCAGGGAAAACTTTTCTTAAAGCAGGCATCATTCTGTTCTCCTAGGAAAAATGGCAATGGCCTGCCACAGGTTGTCTAAAAATGCCTCATGGTACACCTCAAAGTCCAAATTATCCTGTCTGGGACCAAAAATTGTCTTGGTGGCTTAATGCTATAAATTCCTCAGCCTACAAAAAACTCATTAAACTAGCTAAAGAAAATTTATTTATCCTTTCTATTTTCCCTCATCCCCCACCTTCTTAAATATAATGACTCAATTTTTCAGTCATGCAAAATATAGTAATAGAACCTAACTGGAACATTATGAATGTTAACACAGTATTATCAATATGGCTCGTGTGATAAGACTGAGCATTTTTATACTGACACTGCTTCATTTTATTAGCCACCCCACTATCATAAACATCCTGGCTGATGAATATTTGCATTTTAAGTGATTTTCTATCAGTAAAAAATTTTATTTCTAAAAAGAAATTTATAGGTTGTAATCTCTGTATATAGACTTGGCAGGAGATTTTGCCAAGAACACATTCATTGTTTTATAAGCAACTAGATAAACATAAATAAAATACATTTTTCAAAAATACTGTTCACATGCAAAATTTGTACTTAAAATGCAATCCATCAAAATAGCCTGTCATCAAACCACTGTTCAGAAACAGACAAGGATTAAGTTTACGCCTTAAAGGAATAATGAACTAACAACTACCTAACATATCTACTTTAATAGAATATTCTGAGGTATAAAAACACATTAAATACCTTTAACTACCAGTTCTGCATAGTTTGATATTCCAACCCCTCCTTCGGTGCGAATCATGCAGCGGTACTTTCCAGCATCTCGTTTGGTGGTATTCACAACATTAAATGAAGCAATGAAGCGTCGGGAGCTGGTCACCTTGATTTCCTTCAGAGGAGCATCTCGCACATCAATGCCCTGTATCAAGCAGGGTGGAGAGGACAAAAAGAAGCACTATCACCTGTCAGGGCAAAACAATCAGACACCCAACAGCATGTTACCCATGTTATTTTCACGCAGATCTTGGTACAGTTATTTATTACCCATGGGCAGTTACACCAGGAGCAGGAAACTAAAATTCTGCCATGGAGCAGGAAACTAAAATTCTGTCATGATCAACGCTTTAAAGACTGAGCGATGCAGCCAGGCGCAGTGGCTTACACCTGTAATTCCAGCACTTTGGGAGCTCAAGGTGGGCAGATCACCAGGTTAGGAGTCTGAGACCAGCCTGGCCAACATGGTGAAACCCTGTCTCTACTAAAAATACAATAATTAGCCAGGCGTGGTGGCAGGCGCCTGTAGTCTCAGCTACTCCATAAGCTGAGGCAAGAGAATCGTTTGAACCCAGGAAGCAGAGGTTGCAGTGAGCTGAGATTATGCCACTGTACTCCAGCCTAGGTGACTGAGTGAGACTCCATCTCAAAAAAATAAAAATAAAAAGACTGACAATGCAAAATTAAGTGTGCACAAATTTTTTGTTTTTGCCTCTTCAAAATATTAATTATATTATATTAGTGCAACTGGGGAGTGAAAATACAGAAAACTTCATTACCTTGTTCTCAAACTATCAACATTTGGTCTTATAACACTTTCTCTTATTTTTATGCTTGACTAGGAAATAAAATTAGCTCACCCACTACCCTATTACTTATTGACCTCATTTTATAAATGAAGTAATAAACAATTTATTAAGAATAATATTTAAATATGTTAGGTTTTAGAGTACTCCCTATTGAACAGGACTAAAAGAATAGTTCAACCCTTTTGATGTTCTTCCTGTGTACACAAAAACCAAGCAGAAGTAGGTTACTAATAATTATTAAGTGACATTCAAATGTAACAAAAGAGGTTCCTCTCTACGTCCCGTATCCCCAGGTCCACACAAAGAAGGTTCCACAGCTGGAGCAGTTTGGTCTTTTATTATCCCCATATACTAAGTAACCCTTTAGTTATGCACACCTGGAGATCCATTCTATTATTCCAATAATTTAAAGCCTCAAAAGCAGGTTTAGAGATTTTATTTTTCTCTCTCCTGCACGCTCTCTCCCTCTGTCTCCATATATATATAAACTTTCTCACACCAACAGTCCCACATAGACAAATATGAATATCCAGCCCTGAAAGCGTGTGTGTGTGTGTGTGTGTGTGTGTGTGTGTGTGTGTATGCATGTGTGTTTTACAATCAGGAAAGAGGCTATCTTTAACATGTTATAAGTATTAGTAAACAAACAATGGAAAAGACCTCAAGGCTAAGACATGACTATTATGCCAAGCATAATGTCCAAGCACTATGTCCATTATTCACCCAGCAACCACTCTTGGCATCCCAACCAGGTGCTATCACTGTGTCAAGACACTATGATCACAATGGCAAACAAAAGAACAGTGGTGGCCCGGCTTATAGGCCTCCAGTTATTGTGGCGTATAAGCTTGAAGTGAGTACATAATCACAAATGATGACCAAGGTAGTTTAGGAAAGATGAGCTGGCTAGCAGAAATCCCATTGCGGACCAGCTGCAGATACAGTGGCCGTGGGAGGCTAGTCTGAGGAAGTGACATGTGAGTTGAGATCTGAAGGGTAAACAGAAGCTAACCAAGCAAAGGGGAAGGGTGGGAAGAAAAGAGCATTCTAGCTATAAGAAACAGTATAGGAAGCTCAAGACGGTGATCAAGAGCTGCAGGTTTTGGATGAAGTTAAGGCAGCCAATGGAGCCTGGGAGGTGGGCAAACACCTGCGCACTCAGGGACTTGCAGGCTCTATTAAAATGTTTATATTCATAGCTATGAAAATGCTGGCCTACAAAAAAATAGAACTCGTCTGTATTATTCAGTGATTTATATTATGCAAAGTCCTTTAAAAGCTTTTATCTTGTGATATTTTCACTGGCTGAATTTCCTAAGTGACGCACGTTTGGGAGTTACCCTGACTAGCAGGCCAAACCTAAAGTGGCCATCCAGAGTGATTTACCTTCATAGAACCTCACTTTCCTAACCTGTAAAGAAGAGATGATACCACCCACTGTCAGGGCTGCTGGGAAAACTCACAGACATATGTGAGGACACAGGTGTAACAACTGGCACCATGCAGCCCCTCCCGAGCTTTGGAACACCTGAGTGACGAATTCAAGGAGAAAGGCAGAGTACTATCAAAGTACCACTTTACTACTGATAAACCTAAAACTGCAGAATATGGCTTAAGAGTGCAGGAACAATGGGCTTGCTAATCCTGAAGCACAGAATTAAACAGACTCACCAACCTAGTCCCAGGCCACACTAGAAAACCACAAGGCCACCCATATGTTGAGTGCTGCTGTAAAACTCACAGGATGGAGGGACAGGGTTCCCATAGGCAGTCAGCTCCCCAAAGAAGGGGCTGGGCTAGGCATACTCAGCCCTTCCTCCCAGGCAGCTTCTGCTTGGGCAGTGAGAAGGCAGAGAGGAGTGCTGCAATAGTACAGTTCCTGCCACTTGGAAGGAAACATCAGTAGTGGGAAAGAACAGTTCCATCAACATTATCTTTAGTATTATCTGTAAAACAGTCTTGTTTATACTATAAAATGTCCTAAGTCAGAATATAAAGTCCCACATTATGTCTGCGTGTGTTTTTCACTAAATGCCCTAAATTTGTTCTCATAGACAGCATTAAGAAGTTATAAAATGAAACAAAACCAAATACAGCATTAATAGTACAACAGGAGAAAGGTTCCTGTCTATTTTCCATAGATACTCAGTCTCTGATTCTCACCCCACTGCAGAAAATAAGTAAATTCTAGCCCTAGGGATAATCTTAGACATACTACTTGATAGTCTTGTTTTCAACCTAAAACAGAGCCACATCTCTGGTTTTTGAAGGGAAAAGAAATTAAGCCATAAAGGCAGATTTCATATCTGTGTTTATTAACAACAATCAAGAGGTCTTAGGGCTATCTATCCATTTATTTATCTGTTTACTTATGGTGTGAATCCTGTAATCATAAACTCTTTTTAATAATCTCCTAATATTCTTCCTAATAGAAACATCTCTCAAAAGAATGTTTATTCAAAAACAATTTAAAGTTTGCACTTACTGACCCCTCACAACTATTCAAGGCTGTGCTGAGGGCACTTGAGTATAAGAAAGCCTCCTTTTTGGATTTATGCCTATGTTAAGAGGAGTATGATTCACAGTTGTGCTGTCTTTGTCCCACAGATGTACCCTGTAAAATAAGCAGCCCTGGACTAGAAGCCCCATGTAATTCTAGTGAGTCATATGGATTCTCAAGAATGAGCCTTTAAAAATTTTTTAACTCATGTACTTAACCACATGAAAAGTCAGATTCAGCTTCATGAGAAAAAGTACATAGGGAAGAGATATCAAGTGCTAAGCAGCCATCATTTTAGCTTAGAATCTACACAGGAATAGCAAATCACACATCTTACTGAAATCTGCAGGCCATTTTGTATTAAACCATCCACATGTGCATGGATTCAGGCATTCATTCAACCAATATTCAGTGACAATCTTTTATGGGGCACATACTCTATCATATAAGAGAGCATAAAGTTAAAAGAATCATCATTTACCTAATTGAGTTTATCTGGACAGAAATAAACAGACAAGGCAATAATTACAATATAGAGAAATGAATTGCCTCCCATAGCACACAGAGGAGAAGGAGATCTGACTGGATGTTTTAGTCTGTTTTCTGTTGGTTATAATAGAATACCTAAAACTGTATAAAAAAATTTATTTCTTTCAGTAATGGAGGCTAAGAAGCCCCAGGTCAAGTGGCCTCATCTGGTGAGGGCCTTCTTGCTGGTGAGGACTCCGCAGATTCTTGAGGCAGCATAGGGCATCACATGGTGAGGGGGCTGAGTATGCTAGTTCAAGTCTCTCCTCCTCTTCTCAGAAAGCCACTGGTCCCTCTCCCATGATAACCCTATTTAATCCACTAATCCATAAATGGATTAATCCGTTATGAGGGCTCTTATATGATGACCCAATCACCTCTTAAAGGCCTCATCTTTCAATAGTGACACAGGAGATTAAATACTGATTTAACACTGGGGATTAGCATTTCAACATGAGTTTTGGGGGAGACAAATATTCCAACCATGGTCCTGGGGATGGTGTCCGTGCAGGCTTTCTAGGAAGCACCGCTTGAGCACATGCTTAGGGATGTACAGAAGTTTCTTAGGCAGGGAATAAAGAGGAAAAGTCCAGTGAATAACAGAAGCTCTCCAGAGTCAAGAGCCAAGGGAGAGCACAGAACTGTAGGGAAAATACAGGGTCTCTATGGTGGAAGTACAGAAGAACTAGAAAAGAACTATAGGGGAAGTATAGGAGAAGTCTAGGGGAACTCTAAGGGAAGTATAACTTATCCTATATGGCAAGAACAGAAGTGCTTCTCAGTGAAAAGGCTAGGAGGAAAAACGTAATGCAGACCCCAACAAGAAATATGAAATGTCGAGGACGTTAGTGTATTCAGATGCTGGGAATGGAAGGATTAGGGAAAGAGGTAACACAAACACCTCTATGTGAACAGTAATGTACTGGAGGAGATAGGGTTTGAGCCCAACTGATGTCAAGGGAAACTGGGTAAGCTGTTTTCAGAAATCATAGTAACAAAAGACACAAAGAAAGAAGACAGAAAGACAAGAAACCTCAAGATACCTAGAAAACAAAATCAACACAATGTATATTCCACTACAGTAACGTCTTTCTCCTCTAGCAGACCATAAAGTCCAGGGTCGTATCTTATTCATTCTATGTACCCAGGTGCACTCAGAGACATCACTCTCCCTCCATCCGCCCCCAAAGGCCTTCATGTGGTAGGTATCCTGCCCTGTATCTGGAGGGCAGGAACGTCACACAGGCCACGGAGAATGTGAACAAACAGGCTTGGTTCAGTGTCTCCCATTTTTTACCATCAGATCCT